TTATTTTTTGCAATGCTTAGTCATAATCTGATGTGGCCAGGATATTTAGTTGATGGTGCACAATCATTGCCGCCTGGGATGAGTTATTAAGGAGAAGGGCCAACTTATAAATGGTGCAAACACTAATGACTGAGATTTGAGAGAGTTATTAGTTTAACAATTGAGTTATAATGAATTATAGTTGAAAAATTAAGTTTTAAGTGAGTCAACACTAAAAGATTAATTTTCCTTATTAATTATTAAGAATAACGAAATACTTTGAGAAGACATCTTGTTAGAACTAGAGAGGGTAGTTTCCTTTTATCATAAATGTACTACCTTTCTTTTAACGTATAAGAGAAACTATTTGTTTTTATTTATAAAAAAAATTACATTTATCAATAAGCATTTATTATACTTTTTTTAAATTACTTCTCATAAATTTATAATTTTCATTCATAAGAAACAATTAATACGGCCTTATTTTGATTAAATGCAAGGATATTTTAGTCTACTTTTTTTATTTATAAACATAACCATTATAGTTAATCAATTTTTTTAAACTATGTAATACAATTATGTTCTCTTATATATAGAAAATAAGGAAATAGGAGTTAATTAGGAAGTTAGTTTGATCATATTTGATTATTTGTAAAACTTCAATATTTTTTTGTCTGCCTTGTTAATTAAATTTTTGTCAAACTACCCCTATCATTTACTCCTTCCATTTAATATTATAAAATATTTTTTTGAAGAATTATGTTAAAAAATTATAAGATATTTTGGGTTGTGTAATTAATAATATTTTTTTTGAAAATACCTTTAATTGGGGATGTAGTTGTTAATAGGTTTTCTAATTGATACATCTTTTTAAATAAATGCAAAACATGAAAATAGTTTATACAAATTTTTAAGATTATTAACTAATTCATTAGAAATGTAACTTAGCTAAAAATATTTTATAATACTGAATGAAGGAGTATTACGCAATTTTGTCCATGCAAAATACTAGAATGAATTAAATTTTATCTTTTCTCTTTGGGAGGGGTATTAATGGTTGATTATGCAACGTGATCATTGTAATTGATTGCCTATAATAATGTGTATTTCCTTCATTAAACAATATAAAATATTTTTAACTGAATTATATTTAAAATAAGTTAGTCAATTATTTTTACAATGATATCATATTTTTATATTTACCCTTAATTAATATAAGATGTCTCACTTAAATGTGAATATTGGTTGAGTAGTTTATTTAATAGAGGTATTTTTGAAAAAAAAAACTTAATTAAAGACATATTAAAAACTTTAACATCTAATCTAAAAAAAAATGGAATACTTATGTTTTTTAATAGATGGAGTACTTATTAGGGCATTTTCACTCGGTGTGTGTGTGCCCTCATACAATGAAAATTGAATGACTTAGCAAAATTTATCATAAGGAAAAAGCAAGCAAGGACCACTGATCAAGACTTATATCAATTAGATTATTTATTGTTAAAATTTAAATAAATAATTACTAATTTAGGTTAATATTTTATTCACAAATATTCATTCAAGTTTTAACAACGTTTTAATAACTCATTTTAAATTAAAAATAATTCATTTAAATTTTTATAACAACTGATCCTTTATTAATATAAGTCTTGATCAGTAATTTTTAATTATTATTTTTCCATTTATCGCACTGTCTTTTGCTCCCCTTCTTGACTTTATTCTCTAGCTTTCTTTTTCTAAAATCTAGTCATTCTAGCACTTTGGTAGGGTAAAAAAACGTAAATTAGCTATAATAACACACACACACACACACAAATTACTGGTTCTCTTCTTTTCTTCTCCTCTCTCTTTTCTCTAAAATTGATATATTGGCTTTTGCTATTCCGAGTACACCTTTCAGTCAATCACATCGAGAAAATTGTGTTTTCTAGGTTGGAAGTTTGCAAGGTAAACGATGATAAACCTTTTGAGAAGTGAAGGCTACAATATTCCCCTCTGAAGTCTCCATCGATCTGATGTAACAAACCAATATATAGGATTTGTCTCAAGATTCTCAATGTAGCAAATGGAACAAATAAATTAAGTGGACCCAACGGAAAAAATGTGTGTTGTTAGGTGGGGAATGAATGTGAGGGATGTCAATATTGAGTGACATTAAGCGCGATTCATGGATGGCGACTTTACTCCCTGTGCCCACACTAATCAATTGACACTCAACATAATTGTTACTTCTCGCTTCTATTATGGCTAGGGAAAAAGTAGCTGAAACTGTTTGTTTTGATCTTATATATAAAAAACATATTAATAATTATTATTTATTTTTATCACTTTACTTTTATTAAAAATGCTGAAAAGATTATTAAAGAATAAAATATTTTATTTTAAAATATGTATATTTAATACTCCATCCGTTTTCGAATGTAAGAGAATTTCAATTAATTCACTTAATTTAAAAAAATTACTTAATTACAATAATGTCTGAAATTGAAATGTTTGAATTAAAATAGCATTGTATTTAATGTTTAATTTCCCCCCTTATATAATTTAAAAATGTAATTAATGCTTCTTAAAATTTGTAATTTTATTTATAATAAAAATATAAGAAAGTTTATTTTATATTTAAAAACTGAGGGAGAATATAGTGGTACATACAATATAATTCACTTTTCACCTCACCAATAAGTGAGATTCTTAGGGGAAAAAAAAAAATCTTCTATCGTAAACTGAGTAAAACTAATGAGCCAACGCGTATAAAGTTAACAAAAAAAAAGTCCAATTATGAGAAAATTGATTTTTTTTTTTTTAGTCAGACTTTTCGAGCTAGCTTGAATACATTTTTTTTTTTAAAAAAAGGCACGTTAAGTTCGTTGAGGTCCGGATTGACTCGTAATCCAAAGCATGCATCTAGTTTTTTTTTAATGTTATTTACTAATTCTATATTGTTTATGTTATGTATTTTTTATTAATTATCATTATTATTATGACCCCACTTCTTTACCACCTCAAAATACATTTTTAAATTTATTTATGAAATTTATTAATAACTACCATTAAATTAAAATGAATTATTTTAATAAATATATAGCTAAAGTAATCACATGTTAATTATTATAATTACAAATTATAAATGGAGATATAATCCAAATTATTTTAAGTATAATAGTACTTTTTCTAAGAACGGACCATTTAATTTTTTTAATATATTTTGAATGTAGAAATTGAGACAGCACTGAAAAAATATTTAAAAAATATCGACAATTTTAGGGCTGGTTCCAATAAGTCGACTCACCGGATTCACCCTCTCTAAAAATGTCTACCTGGCCTACTATTTTATACTGTTCGCATCTAATGATTAATTTTGCATATATGGAATCTGACTGTGTGAAGCAGTTATAGTAATATACTCCGCCCGTTTAGCATAATATTATAATATAATGTACCTTTTTAAAGTGTTAAAAATATGACGCATTTTGATTATTTCAAGATATATAATTAATACTGTTTTTTTAAATGCATTCAATTACAAGTGTAATTAATAAATTTTTTTAATTCAGACAACTTAATAAATAAGGATAAACAAAAAAAAGGACCATGTAATTTTAAATGTTATTAATTAATTTATTGTGAGGTATAAATTAATTAAACGTGCCTCATATTTTTTAATGAAAGGAGTAATAAATACTACTTTCAGTTCAAAATATAAAAAACTTTTGACAATAATTCATGCACACCAATGAAATTTTTATTCTCACGAATATATATTGTTCTTCCCTCTTACTTTTGGTTTCAATTTATGATAACTGAAAAGAACATGTTTAATTCACAATAAATACAAGAATCTAGATTAATAAATATAAAAGATAAAATAAAAAATTATAAATACTAATTTATTTATATTTTGAATCAAGATTAGTTAAAAAAATGACCTATATTTTGGACAAAAGAAGGTAAGATTTTTTGACATGAGTCATTCTTTCATATTCTTTTTTAACATTTATCTTATTATATTGAGTAGAAATTTAAAGTATTATATCAATTTTAAGAAATTTGAACCTTCCACCTTGCATAAAACTAAAGAAATTATTTTTTTTAATCTTGCTTACTCCACATTGGATTAGATTTTTATGATAAAGCTAATTACGTGGAACTTTATACCTTGCTTATAGTTTACAAAACCATTAGAGCTAATAATTTATGTCAAATTTGATAAATTAACTTGAATAAGTCTAATAAATCTTATGATAAAGTTTGAGAGTTAAAAAAAATTCTTTAATTTGAGTTTATTTAAACCACCTGAATAAATATGAAGAAATTTGAGCCACACTCAAACTCATATTCTTTTTATTAATAAAATAATATTAATTTTTATGTTAGTCTCCATTTTACATTCACAAATCTTCTCTCAAATTTCAAATTCTAAATGAAGTTATAATATCCTTTTGTTTTGAATGTTTTTTTAAAAAATTTAATGAAGAATAACTACAAAAAGTTACGTCACATTCTTTCGGTTTTACCTTTTCAAATGCTTGGTTTCATCCTGCTAAGGATAAAAAAATGTTTATAGTGTTATATTACTTAAAAAAAAGTTTATTTTCAAGATGAAAAACTTGAAATTAATTCAAAAACTAAAATAAAAAACATGACAATTCAAATAAATTTATGATGGTATGGTTGAGTTTGACTATATAAATTTTGTATACGTTTGGATACTTTAAACCTCTCTCGGCATAAACTAGAGCAAGAGTGCGCTGAACCCGCGAGCATGTAACAACTAACAAGGATGAAGCAAGCGGCAAGGGTTGAAGCTTGAAGGCTGACAAGACAAACAAAAGTCAGTGGAGGAGAGTGATTGAGCTGATCAATTAAGTCGCTTTCTGGGGAAATGTAAGAGCACCTTAAACACAGTGCCAAGAAGGAAGAGAGAGAGAGAGAGAGAGAGCGCCAGAGGAACTATTGTCTGGCTAGGCTCTATATATAAGAAGACGTGCATCTGCAAGTCACATAACCAGATAACCTTCATCTTATTATTACATGTCATGCATCTGAATATATGCCACCGAACTGCAATTAATCTCTCTCTCTCTCTCTCTCTCTCTCTCTCTCTCTCTCACCGACCCCATCGGCCCATCTTTTAATTTCTCCTCACTTTCAAAACCTCTTTGTCTGTCCACTAGCAAGTTCAATTCCTCTGAGACGACGGCCTCTTCATCATCGGCCACCATGACTGCTGCTGCTTCAGACGTTGCTCGAACAGTTGTCGGTATCTTAGGTACGTTCAATTCACTTCCATTTGATCTGCTTCTTCTCCTGATTTATCCAAAACCCTTCAAAATTTTCTGAGATTTTGGTTACTTATTACTGTGTGTGCATGTTTATTTTATTACCCTACTTCAGGAAACATCATCTCCGGCTTCCTCTTCTTGTCTCCAGTGTAAGATTCATTTACTTGGTACTTAGCTGATGATCCATGATCTTCCTCCCGTCGAAATGGATTGACCGTTTCTGTTTGTGGTTTTATTGGGTAAACTTACACCTAAATTAAAATCTTATTAATTTATTCTCTCAATTTCTATTTATAAATCACCTCTAATATTTTTACTAAAATCAAAAAAAACTTTAAATTTTATTAACTTTATTTAAAAATTTAACAAGCAATTTTTAAATTTATCCTTATATAAAATATTCTATCATTTAATAACATTCTTAATATTTTATATCGATACAATAATTATTGAGATACTCTATAAATAGAACTAAAACAAATACTCTTTTAATCCTATATATAAATAAGACTAGAGGAATAAGATGCATGCACCATACTCACTGACTGAGTCCCTTTAAGATGGATTTATAATTATTAGGGAAAAACTTATATATTTATAATATTTATTTTCAATTAAATTGAGACATATGAATATTTTATAAATTTTTTATTTTATATAAATTCTTGTTATTAATTCAATTAACACATTAATATCCACTTGTAATAAGTTAATTGGATATAAACATATTAAGCACTTCCTCCGTTTAAAAATATAAGGTATTGTTAATTGAATCTTAACTCCCAATAAAGTAGTTATTTACTTTCTAATTAACTTTATTTTTTTATATTTATCCCCATTAAATATTCTATAATAAATATAAAGTTATTATTAATAGGGGTACTTTTAAAAAAAGACGATGATTACACTTTAAAAAACTAAAAGTACTTTATATTTTTTAATATTTAATTTTTTTAAAAATATTTTATATTTTAAAACGGAAGAAGTAAATAAGTTTTACCCTTATTTACTCTCTCATGCGGAAAGCAAATGATTGTTTTGATCTTTTAGGTATGTTGTTGACTTTTTATCATTACAGATTTTACTTCTACTTTTGTTAAATGTTGGTAAGAAAACATAATCATTTCAATTCTTATTATAAAGCACTTTTTAAAAGAAATTGATAGTCATTTGATGGGATATTGATTAAGTTTTTTCAAATGATAACACTATTTAAAGTTATTAACTATGAGAAATAATGTAATGTAAATTTAAAAACTTAATTTCATTTAGATATGAATAAAATTAAAATTTTATTTAATTTGAAAACTTTGATTTTAGTAATGTGGTTAGAAATGCTTTAAAATTAAGATATGATGTTATATGTGATTAAAGCATGAATATTTAATATAAATAAAATTTAAAAATTATTTTAAATTTTTAGACAAAATTATTGTTTTCCTTTTCTTTCTTTCCAAACCCTCTCCTTTAAATTGGAGGGTTGAGAGACATCCCTCCCTCTCTCCCTCTCTCCCTCCTCACCCTTCCTTTCATTTCATTAAAATTTCTCTTTTTTTTTTAACCAAACATAGTGTTAAGGTTTCGCGTGATTTCACTAACAAAATATATTGAAAGTTGGAAATGGTATCACGATATCACAATATTTATTTTAAAAATGAATGCTATAAATTGTATATATATAATAGAATTAAGAATAAGAAATGATTTTGACTCGCGTGTTGCTGCATTATACGTAATCAAATTCAAATTAGACAGAAAAGGCATTGACACATGAGCGCGCATAAGTGGATTTGTCTTTCTTGTGGTGGATTTTGCCGAAGTAAAGTGGCTGGGCCTGCATAACGTTTCTAGATCGATGGTGAATATTACCCCCCTTATTTACTAGACAAGTCTCACATTCATTTTTTTTATTACCTTCAATGCTTCATTAGCAGCGTCATTTTTCATTTAGTATATAATTTTGAATTAATTTAATTAATGGCCATGGAGAATACAATATAGGCTGGCCGGGACCCAGGATAGCCTTTAGTCTATAGAGCTAGACGTTTAGATTTTTAATAATGTTAATTTTATTTTGTATACTTATTAATGTAGTAATTGTTAAATTTTATAATTAGTTTAATCATTTTAACTTGAACTTCTTATACTTACGTGTTAAAAAAAATAATTACAATTAGGTTTCACATAAAAAATTAATTATTATAAGATTCATTAATAATTGAACTAAACTGCATTGACTGTTGTTTAAAAAAAAAAACTGCATTGACTGATGACTATCAATGCAATTTAATTCAATTATCAATGGACATAATCATAATTAATTTTTTTATGTGGGACTTGAATATAATTCTTTAAAAAATATATATAGTGCAATTTACACTTTCTTTTTCATTTTTCAAATATGTGTTGTTTTTATTATAAATAATACAAACTACTAATCATTTCACATGTAATTATACACACAGCAAGCCCGCACTTATATGCAACTTAAGAAGAGTCCACTAGTCATAGTGTTTACGATTAATGAACAATAAACTCGGTGACATTGCGTTCAGTTTTATATTGCAAACCATGACTTATGAATAATATATTTTTCTGTAAACTTATTATATATATACACATATATATGATGGCAAAAATGTGTGCGTGTGTAGGGTAGTAATTAATAATTAAAAAAGGAAGAAAGAAATTAATGGCTTTATGAATCATGACCTTTTAAAACAAAGATGACTAGTTAGGGTAAAACAACATAGAAAATTTGGACGAGGTCAAGGAAGACAAGACAGAAATAGGGATAATATGTCACCCAAAAAGAAAAAAAAAATAGGCACAATAATTAGGTTTTAAAAGATTGAATTAGTGAAGATTAGGTTCCAAACAAATTTTTTTTTTGGAAAATTAAGAGAAGATCTATTTATACAATCATAAATTTTGACTTTTTAATTGTAAATAAAACATTTAAGTTTCAAATGCAATCCTTAAATTATAATTGAGATTACATCTTTTATATGTATGAATAGATATTTATCTAACTCAATTTTTAAAAAATTTTAATGAGAATATAACTATTAATTCAATCTTTTAAGAATTAACTATCATTTGACCAAAAAACAAACAAACTGTCACTCTCTCTTAAAAATATGGAAGAAATTAAAGGAATAAAGGTGTACCCAATGCAGGCCAACATTTGTGGGAATATGGAAGAAAGGGTCGGTGCAGGAATTCTCGCCGGCACCTTACCTAGCGACGCTGGTGAATTGCATGGTTTGGACGCTGTACGGCCTTCCCATTGTCCACCCTCACAGTATCCTTATCGTCACCATCAATGGCTCCGGCGTTGCGATCGAGATCGTCTACATCGTCCTCTTCCTCATCTATTCTCCCCCGAGAAAGAGAGGCAAGGTCCTTGCCTGGTTCGTCCTCGAGCTCGTCTTCATCTCTGCTCTCACCATTCTCACTTTAACTCTCACTCATTCTCACAAGAAGCGCTCCACCATCGTCGGAACCCTCTGCATTCTCTTCAACATCTTGATGTACGCTTCCCCTCTGGCCGTCATGGTTCGTTCTCAACTCTTCATAATCTCCATCTCTTATATGTAGGCACTTAATTAGTAATCTCATGTGTCGTACTCTGAATTGGGCAGAAGCTGGTGATCACCACGAAGAGCGTTGAGTTCATGCCCTTCTTCATCTCTCTTGCCGCCTTTGGAAACGGCGTCGCTTGGACCACCTACGCTCTCATTCGTTTTGATCCTTTTGTCACTGTAAGTGATCTCTCTTTCTTTTCTCTTTCACCGTAAGTAATCGCCGCCTTTAGCTAGTGCTTGTTTCTCTCATTAATTCCAGGTACCGAATGGGCTTGGGACGTTGTTTGCGGTGGCTCAACTTGTTCTATACGCTACTTATTACAAGAACACAAAGCGGCTGATGGCTGCGAGGAAGGCCGAAGGAGAGATGAATCTGTCGGAGGTGGTGGTCGGGAATAGTACACAAGGCCCCGACAAGATTGAAGCTGCTGCTTCCGACGGACTTGGTTCGGAGGTCCGAGCCAAATAATATAATTAACAGAGTGACACCTGCTATGCATAAAATCTAATAATCCTGATGGATCTAGGCAGTCCAATCATGCACCATTATTTTAAATTTCTATATATAATTAGTCCTGCTTAATCCTCCATTTAGCTTTGATCTGAATATATATGAGGTTTTGTGTAAATGCTGAGGAAGAAAAATATAAATAAAGGAAAGCGTGAGTGTTCATATATGCTCCAAGATATATTGAGTGATTTAACTTCTAATACCATTGAAAGAAATTTTATTAGCCTTCTGTATGTTGTGGAATGCACTCTATCAATAACGATCGAAAAACAAACAAGTAGAGCGAGAGGGAACGTGAAAAATGTATGATACAAATAACTGCACGGTTTAGAAGCTCGAGTTACAACTATAGCCTTAGTGAAACAGCTTCTCATCCCTTGGTAGAGAGATCTCTATAATTGTAAACTATTGAATTATATTTGGAGGTTTTAGAGATGCAGTGAGGGGGGGAAAAGGCAGAAGCAGAAGAAGCAATCCAACGCACATCAGGCAGCACGCAAGGCAACCAACCAGTACTTCGTGACAAGTTTCTGCGTATCCCAACTATTCTGTAATTTCCAGACTGCCCCCGTTTTCCTTTTCTGTTTTTGTTTTTGTTTTTGTTTTTGTTTTTTGTTTTTGTTTTTTGGTGTTTCAGAACTCTGGAATCAGATATATCGGGCCAAGTTCATGGCCCTCCTTTGTAAATATCGATCATTGATGTTCTAGTTACATTTCAAGTTTTCCGAGTACTATACCTTTGACGGCTCAATTTATGACTTTTATAGAACCCGAATGTTAGGATTATACGAAGCATCCAAATTATGACAGATAATTGGCCTCTTGCACCTACCAAGAGGAACATCACAAAGAAGCCACAAACATCAACGAACTTTATCAAAGCTCGACAAGCACCAAGTTAACGATCTTAACGAACATGTTCCCCTGTTCAGGAGGGGAATGAACGTTAAATATGCAGAACCTACCTATGAGGTTGCGCCGCAATACAACAAGAAAAACACACTAATAAGCTTCAACCATTCAACTCAGATCCATAATCCTCGTTACATAATATGATTGGGATTTGGGATCGACAGGGCTCAATAGACCACACTAGTCAATGGATGAAGTGACAGAACTGTCTACAACTTTTGCCAACAAAAACCTTTCAGAAGAAAAGGATTGATACACCCATTGTAAAACACCCTGCTGCCACCCAAGGGCTCAAACGTTCACCTGCACAATGTCGCATCACAAAACTAATCAATTACCTACAGTTTAATGAAGACTTCAGCCACTAGAAAATCAACAAACTTTTCACCCTTGCTCAAATAATAAGTGGACTTTCCAAGAAGAAAACAAAAACAAAAAGTAAACCTAACCATGAAATAATGAATGTTCCTAGAATTCACATGCATGCGAATAGGGCTGCTAATAAAAGTATGCTGCGAAGTCTTTAAGACACAAGTAGCATTACATTTTAGGGTGACAAAGGATAGCTGGTGCAATGATCTGCGTTTTACAGGACAAAGCACCAGAGAGCAAACATTGAACAATAATAAAGTCAAGCGCAACAAGAAGCAAAACACCAATTGACCATTCAAGACCTATTCACTATTAAGTCCAAATAACTGACCATTATAGGAATAATTACAACAATCATAAAAACAAACCTATTCTAGCTGCCTTCCAAAAAAATCCCCGAAACCTGCAAGTTGACATCAAAAAATGGTTTATAAAAATAGAACATTACACATGCAACTATACTAATTACCTTAAGCAAGACAAGATTGTTGCATAATTGGAGTCCTAAAGGTACATGAAGGAACACCAAAAGTAAAGTATCCTGAGCTCAAACTACTTATTTTTACGTAAACATGTACATGCATGACACATTTTTCTTGTTGCTTTAAGTCAGAGCATGAGGCTGTGATTAGATTTTGTAATTTAAGAGGGAAAAAGTAATTTTTGGGGATATTTTAATTCTTTATTAAAGAACTAGATATGGACCCCCTCTGCATACAAAGTCTAAGGAATGAATCATACAATCATGGACCATGAATAGTACAATCTGTCATAAATTTTATCTTTTACATTGATTAATTGATTCTTTGCTTGGATTCTGAAGGATGGACTTCTAAATTTTTACTTTTGAGGCAATTTAGTAAGTTAGAAAGAATTGAAATGGTGCGCTACTATGTTCATGACTATGTTAAAACTAATTCTATATGGCTTTCAATCATCAAGAGAAATTTAGTTAACTCTGTTTTCACTCAGGCAGACTGATTTGATTGAAATTAACATCACCAGTCACCGATAGCATTGCCACAAATGAAGAAATCCGTTGGATATTGCTCTTCATTGATGCTTGCTTGCGGGTTTGATTCTGGAGGAATAAAAAGACCTGCAATACAGATTTTGTGCCTCACTTGGACCTTCTCACGACCTAGCTCTTGCATGATTTCTCATGACTAGCACCCATCTCTCTCTTTCTCTCTCTCAAGCATTTTGTCAATGTTCACTTGCCTCCCCCCACCCAACACAGGGATGAGCAGATTAAGTGCTTGATCTTTGGGTCATTTTGAGATAGCAAATGGCAATGCTGTATACATCAGTGGAGTAGGACTTTAACCATTGCTTTGTGTGATAAAACCTGACTCCATTGCACTCAGGTGGCCTTCTTTTAGTCTCATATTACACTTACACTTTATATGTATACTAACCTGATAAACCTAAGTCGATGAATTTTCCTTAAATCCTTCTGCCTTTGAAGCCTTTGTCAAGATTCCTCTCTTCTTATTGACACTAGTCACACTGTGTCATCCATCATAGCTCACTAGTCTTGTCATTTCCAGCCACTTGTATCATTCTTGTGTTGCAATCAAGTGTCCCTGATATTTGATCTCAAGCATTTCTCAAGAGTCTAAGGTATTGATTTCATTTATTTGCTCCTGCTGATACAGTATTGGGAGAAAATCCCTCACATAATAACTCCCTCTCACGTTTCCTCTGCTTTGGATTGTCTCTCCTTCATAGGACACACATCCCATTCAGCTGGACAAACATTGATTAAGGCAGAATAAAAGAAAGAGAGAAAACCCCATCTGAAGTGAAAATCCCCAAAGAAGGGGCAAAAAAGGTTTAATCTTAGAGCCTATTCATTTCCCTCTCTTTGACTTTACCATGTAATTTTTACCATGAGAAGAATGGAATATCGCTTTGTTTTAGTATGTATTTGGGTGAACTTCTGATGGATCTTCAGGTAGAATGATCTAAGGGAAGTAAATTTAGTTCGTACAATTGATACATTTTTCACACCTTCCTCTTATTTTTATTTATCAAGATCATTAAAACTCCTGCATTCTCTCGCTCTAATTTGCAGTTAAGTTTAATTGGATTTATTTTTTCTTTAAAAGACTCCCGTCCAAACCAAACTGACCTAGGCTGGATTGATTAGTTCAATTTTAACCAAAATGAATAGATTGATAATAGAAGATCTCAAGCCATCCAACTAGATTAATTTGCTTGGTGGTGGAGAGCCCTAGAAAGTTAGAACAGACCATTTCTCCAATAGAGTTACATCAAAATTGAAAGGCTGGAAATTACATTTAACTAAGTGTAGACAATTTAATGCAACTGAATATTGAGGAATGGATTACATTATTTAAATCCTATGAGTACAAGTACATTTCTGGGAAAGTTGAAATTGGCAACAGGTATATGATTCATGAAATCACACAGACGAGAAGAGAAAGCAAGCATACCCAGTTTTCTGTTCGAGGATGGTGGGAAACTGCATCTTTAGAAATGTGCACGTACAAATCACCAACAGTACCACCGTCAGAAACGAATGGAAATTAAAAAGAGCAGACTGTGACCGTGAAAAACGGGGGAAAAAGGTAAACTTGTAAATGCCAGCCAGAGGTTGAATCATATGATGATGAAAACAAAATGAAACACTGAGTTAGTGGCATTACCATGCCTGAGCAGGTGGATATAAATTTGATCCGATGCTTCCTTCAATACCGCTTATTGTCTCCCACTGGATCTGCATGGAAGATCGGGGGAAAAAACAGATGTAATCAATTAAAGGTTGAACTTTTTATTATTAAGGGAATCGTAAAGCTAGTTCCATAGGCCTATGAGTTACGACAGATTCCTTTCGCCCCGACACAGATCCGGGGGGGGGGATATTATTCCCGGGCCGACAGCCAAGGGCACAAGCCCCAACTACTGAATTTAGAACACGAGCGTGAGTGAAAATAAAATTTGAGAGAGCAAATTCTTTGTTCCCATTTGCTAAATAATGCTTCTGCACCTCGTGTAAATCCCGTTTCTTGAATGATTCAAGAATTTTTAAGGTGTTAGATGACTAACCAGAAACTCAATCGATGGAGGAGGAAGGAGCTGCTGCCTGAACTCTGCCGTTGTGCCGCAGGGCCCGTCGATCTAGTGGGTTTGCTGTGGGCTGCCCGTGGCCGGTGTCCCTAGACTGAAGATACTTGAATGCGAAGCGAAGGAAGAAGAAATGTACCAGGAACAGTTTGTGGATCGAAAATTTTACAAAGAGAATTGAGTTTCCGCTTTATGGTCCTTGATTATCTGTTGGTTGGGCGGACTGGAAAATCGGGTTAATGCTGGATCATTTGACGCAATTGGACCCTCACTATTTTCTTAACCTATTAACCTTAAAACTACGCCGTTTAGTCCTTGAAGGGTTAAAACCCAAAAAACAAAAAGTCAAAAACCTCGAAGATTGCTTTCTTTTTTTAACTTTTTTTGGCCTGAATTTAAGACTCGAAAAAAAAAAAAAGTGCACAGATGAGCGATGGAATGAAACGGCGCCGTTTTCCACCGAATTCCTCCCACCACTCAGACGGGCAAATTAAACACAATTTTTAAACCTTCCCGCGTCCTGCAGTCTTACTCCGCGAAACATTTTTATCCCTTCAAATTCCAAATCTAGATGGTCAGGTGCAGTAGTATGTGAGGAAACAATGGGGAAAGCGAAACGATGGACTGTGACCTATACGAAGCACATCAAGCAAAAACGCAAAGGATACCAAGATGGTTTTCTAGAAGTCCAGGATTCGACTAACAAGGTATTCTTTTAGCTATGATTTTCTATAATGATTTCATTTACTTCCTGCATCTGGCTATACAATTAGATAGGATTAACGGTGATGGCATTTTCTAGTTACGCATTATTACCTCTATGTTATATTTAGATTCACAGCGGTATTGGAACCCTTCTTGTTATTACTGCTCTTACGCAGAATTTGACAAGTTTCGAGGAACTGAATCTATTTGTAGGTTATGCTTTATGATGAGTGCGACAAACTCTTGGAGTGTAGACTATTGAAGAATGATGAAACTGTTAACCCTGGTGAAACTCTGACATTCAATTGCTACCTTGTTGACATCGGTGATCAGGAGGGAGATAGTAAACCTATTTCTGATTCAAATGTTGATAGAGCACATAAGAATTTTGCACGGCGTCCTAATAGGTTGAGTGGATCAAACTTTAGGACTCCATCAGGTATAAGCTGTCTGATATTTCTTAAAAAATTTTATAGCACTAATTACCAGAAAAAAAAAAAGATTTATCGCATTATTCTGTTTTGGAAATGTCAACATTTCAACTTCCGATTTCTCCATTTACTTTTCCATTCGATCTCTTATTTATTTATTTATTTGTCGTTTTATAATGTAGGCGACAGCAAAACTAATGTAAAGGAGAGCAAAGAACGTCATGCTCTCAGCCCATCACAAAAGATTATTAAAGGTTGACTTACTTTCATAGTTTGATTCATACAACTTCTCGTTGGTGGTCCATATGTTTTTGCTTCCCAGAATTTCCTCGGAAGTGCTTAGAGCTCTATGCTCTTACAAGCTTAATCTATATTTGTATGCATGCACTACTACCATGCGCACACGCGAGCGCACGATCCACATGCACTTTGTGTTGAAATTTTTGTAATGGGCTGAAATGGCCTAAATTGAGTATTCCTATTAAATTCAGCATGTTCTATAGGTATTTTTCTTGGACAAGTATATTTATTTAACACTGCTATTGTCATACTGATGTTGTTACCTGGCAGTAGTTACTTTATGAATTTTTAGTGCAGCATGGTTGCAAATGCATGATAGTTGCTAAAATTGCAGAGTTTAAGAAAAGAGAGCTTCTTAAGTATAAGTCACCGAAGATCAGTCCGGAAATAACGAAACCCAGCACACCAGGTTAGTCTATTAACGCAAATACATGTTCACTTTCTTGCTTATCTACTTTGCTTTCTTTATAGGAGTAGTGTCATACCATGCCTCGAAATAACGGGTTAGCACTGAACAGAATAAATTCTGCCTTTCTACTCTCTCCTATTGAAGCTTAAATTATAAAGAAACTGACAATTAATTGTAAGATATTTGATTTACTTACACACGACTTTCAATCTCCATTTAAGGAATCATTTAATTTCTTGCTGTTCCAATTTTCTGGCAATTTTATCTGCTAACTATTTAACGGTTTTGCACTTTAAATTTTCTGATTAGAGTGGCAGGTTCTGTATACTTCACAAGTGACTCAAAAGGCAAAGAAGTACCATGATGGTTTTTTGAAACTTGTGATTTGTGGATCCAGTACTAGACAGGTTCACTTCTAGACATATCCTTCATTAAAAATAATGCTTTCTTCTGACTTAAGGTGATGGTTGGTGAGGGAGGGAATTTAATAAGTGCAATATTTCATAATTTCTCTATCTCGTCCGCTCCCTTGCCAACTCCAATAATGTGATTAGAGGTCCTTATTTAATCACCTACACAGTTGCAGTAAAAATTAGATACTCAGTACAACGAATGCTTAGATTCCCTCCCCCCCGCCCCCCACATTTCAGGTAATGCTGTTTGATGGAAGCAGGAAACTTTTGGACAGCAAATTCCTTAAGAAAGATGACGTAATTGGACCTGGCGAGTCACTTGCATTTGATGCATATTTGGTTGATGTTTGTGAAGATCAAGGAAATCATGAACCAGATTCCAATGTTCGTGGTAAAAAATGCACTGATGCTGAGGAAATCAGGAAGATGCACTGGCAGCAATCTTGTCATGACACCCATGTAACTGGTAGACAAAGTGGTTAGTTGACTTGATTTGGGAATTTTTTAGCTGGCGACTTCATGGTGTATTGGTTTTACTTATTTCTTTTTCGCTTTCGTAATATTTTTAGATTTATAGATATAGTTTGCCTTTTGCCTTTCCAATCAAGTCTTAGATAATAAACTAAATCTACTATTCTCGTGCTGCTGGCTTCTGATATAATTATCTTTTCGCATTCCTATTTGTGTCTGAGCTGTACTTAGTAATCTTTACTAGCTAGCTCAAGCTTGTTAGTTTGTCTTATATGAAAGGAAGGAAGAAGTATAAAAGGGAGGGAAAAAAAAGAGCAGAGTATGCTTGTCTTCGTTTTGTAATTATTCTATATATCTAACGCCGCAGATTTAAATTACAAAATATTTTATTTTAATTCTAGTTTAAAAAGGTTCTTTTAATGTTTTTTAATATACGTGATTTTACAATTGAAGTGTGATGTGATCATCTTCCTGATGAATCCTATTGGTAATATTGTATTTGTTGACTTTTGAATGAACATTACGTGGGAAAATTGTATGTAAACTCTGCTGTCAGTTTAAGACATAGAAATTGCAACTTCATAGGGTATGTAATTCTTATGGCGCTGTCGTCCAGTGTGCATCGGCATATTTTTGTCCGGGTTAAATTTAATTTAACATCAATTCGCTGAAACTGATTTGTCTATTAGAGGGCCTTTTCCTTGCTTGTTTTTATTATAAGAAAATTATATCTTCTTTTATGGTTGATGTTCTTCAATTTCTCTGGAGTAAGTTGCCTCCGGTTATGTTCATAATTATATTCTCCATTTATTTTAATCTTCAATTTTCCATCTTCTTTCAAAGGCCACCAATATCACTTTAATTTTCAATTTAGAGTGGCAGGTGATATATTCAACGCGGTCCACTAAAAAATCCAAGAGTTACCACGATGGTTTTTTACAACTTGAAATTTTTGGATCTCGAGGGAGACAGGTTAGTTTTCACTCTTATAGTTTTCTGGTTGGTCTCTTTAATTTGTCCATTCTTTTTCTAAATCCATCAGTGTCTTTATCTGTTGTCAATTTGTTTCGCTTCCTGTTTATTTCAATATTGAATCTTCAACAATAAATTGTACAGCCTTTTCGATCATTAGACTGAACATTAGGTAGGATATGAGTATGTTTTCTTTGATTGGCATTGTATTAAGTTATTAATTTTGCTTCCTTTGGTGTTCGATTCTTTTCAGGTCGTTCTTTGTGATTTGAATAAAACACCTATAGAGCGCAGGTTCTTAATGAAAGATGAAGTTATAAGACCTGGTGAATCAATATACTTCGATGGCCATTTTGTTGATGTAGGAGAGCCCAAAGAAAGCCATCAATCTCCGATGAATGCTGATGAGAAAGGAACTGGTGATAATTTTGTTCAGAAAAACATAAGATATGAACACCACGGCTGTCTAAAGGCCAACCCGATTGTCGTCAAAGGTTATTATTTGACTTCAAAAATTTTATCTTTTTAGTGGACTTGGTATGGACATAAAGTTTTGTCCATGTCATTTAAATCTTTTTTTAAATACTAAATATCTTACTCATCTCCATGCTTCGATCATCCCTGGTCTTGTTATTGTAACCCTTTCTTTCTTGTGCATTCTAGACATCTTTTTCATGATTGGTCTATCTGTGCTTCAGTCCAGTCTGTTTTATCAGTTATGTGACAACCATTCATTCGGGAAATTGATCTTGGGAAAAAAAAAAAATCAGTAATGAATTATATGTCTCCTTGATTACTAGTAAAGATAGCAGTTAAGATTGCGTCTACTATTTAGTGCAATTAACAGATGCACAGATTTCAAGTTAGAGCACATCCTGATTCTCTTGCTATTTTGACCTAATAATGTCTTTATATTTTTCCCTTCAATGTTTTTTGGCCTCACTCAGCAGGTGAGCCTCACAGTAACGCTTATTTAGCGAAAGAAGCAAACTTGAACTCCCTTTTCTCTGGGTCAGATGTGATCAAATCAAGCATGATGGCCCTACCAGCCAAACCTTTACGTGACAGTGCGTATTGTCTAATCACTCTGTTTTATCCGTGTGACATTCTTCTTCTTTTTTTTCGTATTGAATCATCTTATCATAGATCTTTTCTTTGCATGTATTTTCTCTATGCTTGCTTAAAAGTGTTATTGAATTATGTCGTTTCGTGATTTCAAATTCAAGATGTAGCTTCCACAAAAGACTTGGCTGTTTCATGCTCTATTGCTTGATATTGTTATTGCTTGACTGGTTCACTGGCTTGTATAAAATTATGAGAGGGATGATCGTTCACAAAAACTGCTTGAGCTTCAATGGAATTGGAGCATGTACCTTAGATGTAGGCTAGGCTTGACATGCCTTTGATGTCACAAGAATCTCCTTTTCGTCTTATTGATAAGCTTTTCTGACCTTAATCCGTTGCTTTATTACTCTAATATGTGATTGATTTCTGCTACTTCCGCAGCCCATCAAATATTGTCTCTTTTGCAAAACCGTGTGGCTCCAGAGAGCAACGTTAAAGGTAAGACATGAAACCTCACCAGAAAACGTCCTACCTACAAGCCACAGAGGTCTTGACAATGCAACTAATTTTCTTTTGGTGAAAATAATGCAACGATAGAGTTTATACAGGTGTTGGGCCAACAATAGACTCAGCGCCCAGTCACGGTTCATATGAAAATCTTCAAGATATGGAATCCATTGAGACCATGAAGTCTTCCAATGTCTTGCCTTCTAAAGGCAAGTGTGATGGAATTCGTGAATTTCCAGCACTTCAATTTTCTGATCTTTAAGACAATAGATTTCATGACACCAAAACTTTTTAAGATGCTCATAACTATTTGTTGATTCTGCTTAAAGTAGATTCTTCAGGAGCAAGTGGTAGCGCCAGCTTGCAATCACCCAATAATATCGGAAGTCCCCAGCAGGTCTGGTCTCAAATTAATTATCATTACCTCAAGGCTCAAGTGCCATTTATCTCAGCTGAGCTCTATGGTCGAAATCATATAGCTTAGAATTTTTGATGTCTGTATCACAGAAAGTTCAAGTGGTCTCAAAAGTCAAAATAATTGGTTGTATTTTCCAGGTTTTCTTTTCCGTGTTTCGAAATAAGTTCTGTAAAAAGCCCACAAAGAGTTTGCGCGAATAATTTGTTTTATATATTGGGGACAAACCTTCAGCTGTCTTGAATTAATGTGTTTCATTTGCAATTTGCTTTCTGTAGCCCGATCCCTGCAAGGAAGCTCAGACAAATAAGAGTGAGGCAGTTTCTGATTTTTCCAAGTCAAGTTCGGGTGTGCACTCTTCTTGTTCTGTTACCAGCGAAGGTAAGAGAAATGAGGAGTTCTCGCGTTCAAAGGATATGGATGATTGCCCAAGCTTTGGCCTTGGGTTTTGACAGGTAACGCGTTGAAATTTCTCTTTACTATATCCAAGGCCATTTCACTCATTTGCTCGCAATCGTTTGGTACGAAAACAATTGCATTGCCTAATCGTTCAGATTGGAGATATAGTGAAAGACGCCGAAATCTTGAATTGTCATACCATACAGGGTACAAACAAATATTTATGAAGCTTAGAAAAGATAAATAAAATAACCAATCGAATCTACTAGTAATTTTACATTTGTTTTAATTGAGACTGAGAAGGGAAATAAAATAAATATGTTCATGCATGGTAACTCGTGACTTCAATCTTGCCCCGATTAAGCAGCTTAAAACTGCCCCTGATGTTTGGCCATGCTTTGGAAAATAAACTCACATAATTTGAGTTATTTCCTGTTGATATAGAAGTTAAGCCTGAGTCATTGCTGAAAACGATTGGGCTGAAATAATATGAATTAAGGGCCAAGGAGAGACCGAACAAAATCTGATTCTGATTATGCTTAAGTATGCCTTCACTTGCACTTGATTGCAATATGGTCCATCCATTTCAGATGCCTTGTATGAATATATTTGTGAGATGCTGCTTTTGAGTTTTGACTTTTGAGACTTCGTTCCAGGGAATATGGTTCTATGCGGTTGTGGTTGAATACTTGACGTATCACTTTCTGTTCTGTGGAAGCCTGATAGGGTGATAAGTAGCAGGTTATGTTTCTTTATAATAAAAAAAATGGTTGAATGCTATGTGCAGTTGTGGGCCCTGAGGTCAGAGGGGCTTATCAGATCACACGTGATACAATAAATTTTTTTTTTTTTTTGGCCAGTGTGATACAGTAAATTCACGGAACGTAACGCTGACCTGACGAAAATGTAATTCTAAGGAGATTGTATATTTTTTCAAATACAAAGTAACGGAAAAACATGCAAGGAAATAATTAGGTCATGCGAGAGCAAATGGTATTTAAATTTTGTACCCTCTGAGTGGATTAACAAAAATTGTAGTATTTAAATAGTCATTAAGTGTATGACAAGCAAACCAATTGTTCACCTATTCGCTTCTTTAAAAATGTGCCCAAATATTATAATCTAATCTTTCATGATTAAATTTATGATTCTATTAATAGTATTAAAGAGGATGATTTTAATTGTAATTGTATTTAATAAGTGTAAGAATTTTAATTGAATTAAAGTAGACATTAATTTAGTGAAATCTCCATTCCAACATGGGCCAAGTTTTTCCAAGATATTTATAAGGGAGAATTTCATTTAAGAAGCACAATAGAAATATAATTATTAGTCTGTTTTAGAGGAAAAAAGTCAAAATGATTTTAATGATAAAAAGATTAAAATATTTTTTACTTGTTATGTAAGATGTTAATTTTCTTATGTATTTATTAATTTATTAATATTATTTATAAATTACATTTATTTGTTGGATAATTAGTAACAGTGATTAATTTGTTAACTTTATTTTTTAATTTACTAATATTAGTTGCAGATTATAAGATCTATCAATAATTTATAATTAATGTCAGTAAATTATAATATTTGTCAATAATTCATAATTAATATTAGTAAATTAACAAATAAAGTTAGCAATTTAACAATTAATATTGTTGCTTATGATTGATCAATTGGTGTCAAGTTTTATATAATTATTAAGATGTCAATTTATGTAATTTGCAATTCATTCGTGCATTAATAAATGGAGTAAAAAAATTAACATATAGTAATTTTACATAATAAGTAAATAGTATTTTAATTTTTTTATTGTTGAAATTCTTTTGATTTTTTTTTCTTGAATTGAACTAAAATTTTAAATTTTTTTTAAATCCATTAACAATAAAGTTTTTACAGTGATTCTTAATTGAGATTTTTTATATTCATAAGTTTTGTTGTAGTATTGGGGTAGTACCTCTTATCTAACTTTCCTAATCATTGCAAATGAGCCCTCCACCAAAAACTGAGCGGTTGGCGTCCACCAACCTATTAATATCTTGAGATTTGCAAGAAAATATTTGAAGGAAGAGGGAAATTTTGAGTTTTTTAATATGATACAATTACATCCTTTATGTCACTTTCTACAAATGTACAAATAAATGATTATAGATTATTGGGCTTTTTCTTGTTTTAGGCAAATGTTCGCGGGTCTTGGATTTTTCTCAACCTTCGAATATATTAACTCGAGTGCTGTTATGCCTTGACCTCTTTGAATTGTCCCAGCTGAAGCAATGTCTTTGTTTCACAATCACGATCTTTCACCTTATAACACCAATGGCCACCATGTGACCCAGCTCTCTGCCTTTTAAGCTCAACTGATGTATAAATGTGGGAAGCCGCTATTTCTGGAGATTACTAGGGCAATAAAAATTTTAGCACTTTTTTTTTATTAAAAAAATGTTATAAATGAGATAGCAGTGAGTGTGATGAGATTTCGGAGTTTTAGATCTGAGTCATCTGACCCCAATCCCCAAACTCACCGTGGGTGGCTGGGTACGTGAGGGATCGAGATAGAGATATACAGAGATTGCTTCAGTATCCACTAACAACAGTAAGATAGATCTCCCACCTCGATTCTTCACAAGATGACAAGGAAGCAAAAGTTGAACTACTTAGCAACTATCTCAGTAGGAACTAGTGGCCCAATCGGTACAAGGAATAACAGGAAAAAAAATGGAATGCAATGATGATTGTCGAGCATTTATTCGGTGAGGCATTTAGGAATTGCTGGATAACATTTGCTTTTTGAATTTAATAAAATAATAAAAATATATAAAATGACCAAACTACCCACAAAAAATAGGGAGCCCTTCCACATCTTCATCTTGCAGGATCCCGACCAGCATCTTCTATTCTTCTTCACTGAACCAAGGCCAGCGTCAGAATTTTGGGTCTTCCTTCCACCATAAATCTAGCACCATCTTCTTTTTCCTTGAACCCTGATTTGAAATCGGAATCTTGCCTCTTCTTTTCTATCAGAAATCTAGGACCATCTTCCTTGAACCCAGACCCGTATCGCATAGCCAACAAAAATCTAACCCCTTCACCAACCTTCATGGGGCTTAAAAAATCCCCATCCCTTCTTCTTCCTCTTTTTTTTTTTTTTTGCTTTGTTTTTACAAATTTAGATCAACGCCAGATCTAAAAGGAATAAACGACAGGGGTGGTGAGAGCAAAACTCAACCAAGTTCAAATCTGATGAAGATGAACGACGGCAACTAGGGAAGAATGATGACACAGCTCGGCGGTGCCAATGGAGGGCATCTTCGTGATCCGATGTTTCTGCAGAAGGTTGTGAACGCCGGGTCGCCGACGTCATTGCCGAAGATGGAGAGTGGGTGGGGAAGATGGAGGAAGGGTCGACACATTGGTTTGGCATTTTTAAGGGCAAAAATGTATTCTCTCAGCGATTAGAAGAGGTCTGCATCCTCGTTCATAGGGTCTGATCATGTAATCTGGGATGCAGGCTTAATGGAATGAGGTAGCCATCATGTAATCTCCTTTTCATTACGAAGGTGCAACCAAACGCCAAGAATCATGCACATGCATCAGGATTATAGGTCATCGTTATGCAGGGAATTGAACCGAACGGCGCATAGGTGTCCCAAGGGAGAATTTTCTTTTTTCCCCTAAAAAATTATCAGTAGGAATTAGGAGTGCAAAAGCAAATTTGGCAGTGGAGAAAGTGAGAAAGGTTGCACAACAGTTGAGTATTGAACAGACCAAGATACGTGCTCTTTGCTAGCCAGGACAGTCTATTTAATTTAAATCACATTTGGTTATTAAAATAAAATAAATTAAATTAAATTAAAAAATAAAGATAAAAATTAATTAAATCACCCTCCTCTCTAATGATAAAATTTATTAATATATACTATAAATATGAGAATTATCACTCTTTAAAAATTTCACAAATCGTGATTTTCAACTTCATAAATTAAATGATTTCTTTCTTTTATAAATGTGTTCATTTATTTTTTTAGATTATTTTATTTTTATCTTTATTTTTTTAATTTATTTCATTTTATTGTAGTAAGCAAACATAATCTTAAGGTGTCTTTCTTTCTCTTGAAGGTCTCTCCACAGTCCATACAAATTTATGAACTTTCTGAGATCGTTTTATCAAATTAAAAGTATTTGGTTCGTGATTATATTCCTTTATCTAACATGAAGCTAAAGTTTGAAAGATAAGTCTGATCTTTTTGGTCTTTTCTTTTTCTCCTGATTAATCTCTTCGAACTCAAACAAATAAACAATGGGAAAAGGGCTTATTAGCTTTTATTCGAATTAAATAAAGCTCGTCAGTGAAGCGTAAGGTTTAATGCTGCATGCAAAGTTTACGCTTTAATACAAAGTTATTGGAGGAATATTTCTTATTGGTCTCCACTCCCTCGCCAAATAGGAAAGAATAAGTTCTTTGGTTATTATAATCAGTAATGCTCCACGTTAATTCATCATCTTTTAAGATCACTGATTAATTAATATAACAATTGATGATGATAGGCTTAAGGAATAAATTTGTAAAACCAATGGATATGGCAGAGCTAATTGATACGATAAAGATAATTACAGGCCTATTGATCATCATCAATGACCCTGAAATCAAAACTAAGCGCAAAATCAGATTTATATGGTACCCGATAATCATATAGGCATATTGGAGATGACATTCAGCAATGTATGTCGTATTAGTGCCATGAATCAGTTTCACTTCGCTAATTCACCTTAGAACTCTTCCTTTTAGAGGAATAATAATATTACTAATATTAATATTAATAAATATTAGGTGTGGTATCAGTTATAAGTATTAAAAAAAAATCAAAAAGCAAGATTTTGTGAGATAGTTAGCAGTTAGCACTGAAAGAATGCGGTGAGATGCTTGGGCCCATGGAGATAGAATAAAGACAGCTGGGCTTAAAATACAAAGAGGGGTGAGGGTCCATTTCTGAGTGGAGAGTCATGAACATGTTCCATCATTTTGAAAAAGAATTGAATTTGTACCATCCATCTCAGAGTTCTACTTGCTACCTGCAAGCAATCTCATCATTTAATTAAATGATTGAACACAACAAAGATTTAGATAAATGAATTTAGCCCTTTCTCCCTCCTAAGGGCAATTTTTTGTGTTCCTCTCCTCGGTCAAAAACAGATAAACAAGAGTAGCAGAAGCAGTATATGAAGTATATGAAGATGATGATGATGAGTAAAAGTAGAGAGGAGTGAGTGAAGTAGGAATTAATTACAATGGGTGTTCCTCAAACTCCAACCACATCACCAAATCTGTATCCAGAAGAACTTCAGCTAAAACTATACCAGGCCTTCATTTTCTCGATTCCAATTCTATTTTCTATCATTCTCTTTCTCTTGTTTTATTTGTTCTACCTCAAGCGCAGGGCTTCCTCTCTTTCTTCCCCTCCACACTTTCTTCCCACCACTGCACCTTCAACTACCTATCATTCCACCGTAAGTCTAACTCTTCCTTCTTCATCTCTCTTTCTCTCTCTACTTGTCATTTCAATTTCTACGTATATATGCCTTTATTCAGTTCTAGGGATTTCGATTGATATACTTAATCTCCCTCTCTTATTTTGGCAGCCTTGTCGTTTGGATCTGACCCCTCAGTTCCTTGACACTCTTCCAAAAGTTTTATTTGATGAAGAATTGAAAGCAAGAGATTCACAGTAAGTGTTTCCATCTTCATTTCTCTTTTCTTTGCTCATCTTCCCTGATAGATAGTTTGGTCTATATATTGTTGTTCTTTTGCTATTGGTGCTAAACCAGAGTGTTTTGATTGCTATCTCCTAAAAATTGAAGTACGCGTACAGTATTTGAACTCTGGAAGCTTCTTGTTATATCCCATCACATGCATGTCTGTGAGATTAGTTCAAAATTGTTAGGAACAGTTGCTGTATGAAAGGTGGAAAAATATTGACAGTATCTTCAATTGAATTCTCAATTTCTTTCTCTTCCCATCCCCCCCCCCCCCGAGACTCACATGTATGGCGTCCACTATTTTTACAAAAAGAGCTACAGCCAAAGGAAATAAAAAAAGATAAGTGGAATGTATGAACAATGACATCTCTTGGATTTCAGCACAGGAAAGAAAAGATCAACATGTCTGAAGATGACCCAAATGGAATAAAGAATCCTACACGTGTCTGTCGATTTATAGTGGATAGAACAACCACCCCAAACAAACAAAAAAAGACATAATTTGTGTGTGACTGTGTGTTGGAAATATCATTGATTAAAGTATTGCGTGAACTGTTCTGAATTGAACTGATTTGAAAAATGCTGAAACAGATGTTGTGTATGTCTTGGAGAATTTGAGATGAAAGAAGAGGTATTACAGTTCCCCCAATGCAAGCATGTATTTCACAGAGATTGCATATACCATTGGCTCCATTCACACTCCACTTGTCCACTGTGTAGGTGTTGTATCATCCCAGCCACTAAGTTTCTGAATCCACCAACCCTCCATACTCATCCTCCTCCTCTTGCAGATGAAGCTGCTTCAGCTTCTGCTTCTTCCAACTAAACGCAACACATTTTGCAATCCAGGGCCTCTTTCAATCCCACACATTTGTCAACTTCTTCATATTTATACGCCCCCATGCATGCATGATTCATCAAATAAACCAAACCCTTTTTTTGTTTTTGAGCCATTGCCTCTGTACATTGGATTTGGAATATTCTAACTTGACAATAAGCAGAGGGACATGTCCATGGAGGTGAAAGACAGTTGAGGAAGCCTGGTAATGGAGAAACATTCCGGCATGCAAAGGGTTGCCATCTTGCCGTTACTTGTTAAACCAATTTCAAGCAGAGTTTTCTACACTCCCTTAAGCAGTTAAGCTAGCACGTGTATAATTAATTATTAGCTTATATTTCTATGACGTTGTATATTCTATCTGTATGTTGCTTGGCGTTTCCTCTGTCTTCTTTGGCGTTTTATATAATACATACGATATGTCTATATGATATATGTACGTATGTACACAAGCAAAAGAATAGCGGCAAGCACGGTTATAACTTGTTAGTCTTGCATTTGGAATGAGTACTCTTCAGCATGAGAAAACAAAAATTAAGAGAATAACAGTTAGGTCTAAAAATATTAAATTAATAATAGTTTGGTTTTTAATAAAATAATTTGCAAATATCAATTGTAAATAAATATTTAAGTATTAAATGTAATTTTTATATTGTAATAAAAATTTATATTTATAACTGTTTGAATTAATATTTATAATTTATTTTAAAAAAATTGTCAAAGACTTAACTATTATTAAATTAACATTTTGGGACTTAATTTTTATTCTTTCAAAAAAAAATTCCTTGGGATTGTGCTAATTTTAAATCAAATTGGTCTTTTTCCATACTCTCCTCGGTTTTCTAAAATTATTTTTGCTATTCTTTTGGTAAAAAAAAGCATTATTTGGTATTTGAATATTGAATAGTTTTTATAATTAATTTTTAACTATGCTTTTACTTTGTTTATTATATTTTTTAAGAAAATAATCTATTAAAATTTTAATGGTCATTATTAAAATATTTAATGAGGATATAATTAAAAAATATATTATAATTTTTAGAAAATTAAAATTTCAACTAATTTTTTTAAAAAAATATAAAATAGTTATCAATATATTTTATATTATGGAAGAGAGAAGTAGGCAAGACATTAAAAAAAAATGAGAATTTTAGTTAAGGACCATGGCAGCTACTTAATTATAGGTGGGTCCAAAAAAATTTAAAATTTTAGTTCAAGTTATGAAAGAAAAGTCAAAAGAATTTTAACAGTGAAAAGATCAAAAGACCCTTCACTTATTACATAGAATCACTCATTGTTAATTTTCTTACTTCACTTATTAATTTATCAATATCACTTATAAATTACATCTATTTGTCAGACAATTAGTAACATTAATTGTTAATTTGCTAACTTTAGTTGTTAATTTATTAACATCAATTGTAAATTACAAGACCTATTAGTAGTTTACAAATGATGTTAATAAATTACAAGATCTATCAATAATTTACAATTGATATTAGTAAATTAACAAATAAAATTATCAATTTAACAATTGATGTTGCTACTTATGATTGAACAACTGATATCAAGTCTTATATAATTATTGACATGTCAACTCATGTAATTTTGCAACTCATATTAGTAAATTAACAAGTAGAATAAGAAAATTAATAATTAATAAGTGAAGAATATTTTGATCTTTTTATCATTAAAATTCTTGAGATTTTTCTCCCTTAAACTGAGCTAAACTAAAATTTTAGAATCTTTTTTAACTCACTTGTTTGTAATTAAGTAGTTGTTGTGCTCAACTGAAATTTTCCCTCAATGAAAACATCCCATTCCTGTATTCATACAATCGTTGTCTCTAGGGGTGTTATATACCCGGCCCGATTGACCCGTACCGGCCCGTGCTCGTCCCGATCATATTGGGACGAGTCTGTCCCGGCTTGAAAAAATCTAGGACGGGACTTTTATAGGACAGGGCCAAAAGAGAGACGGGACGGGACTTGGGCCAGCCATCAGGACGTCTCGTCTTGTCCCATTTATATTCACCATATATGATATAACTATATATATATATATATATTAAATTTAACCATTATTTATTTATTTTAATTAAACTAATTTTTTATGGTAAACCGACTGAGACACGCTGCACACGCATGTGGCAGGGCAGGGAGTTCATTTTTTATTTTGCCCTTTCCAGTTTCCACTTTCCAGATCTGGTTCCCACTTTCCAGCTTTCCCTTTCAAAGCTCCAGCTCCAAGCCTCCAACGTTCAGCCGTAGATCAGTCGCATAGCTCAGCAAACCTTTAGTCCTTCCGAGTTCTGGCTAGAAGATGAGAGCTCCGACTAGAAGACGAGAGCTTTCAGACACACAGCTCAGCAAGCTTCCACATCTTTCTCTATTTTGAGTTTCGACGCACGAAGACGAGAGCTGCACAAGTCGCATAGCTTCACGCCTCTGCCTTTGTGACCTCAACTACGCCTCCGTCTCCACCTCCACGTGACGCGGCTGTAAGGTATTTGTTGCCTCAACCGAGATCTCTACCCAAATCTTCGTCCCAAGCTCCCAAGCCCAGCTTTATCTCATATTTCCACAGTTGTTATTCTCTTTGACCCAGATGCAGTGGTGATCAATTCCTGGTGGTCATTGAGTCTATACGAGGTGCTCCAAGTCAAATCCATCGTTCTCCTTATCGTCCTCAGATCTGGTGCGTTTCATTGCTGATTTGTTGTCTTGCTGAATACTAAGAAATAAATTAATAGGGATGGTTGAGCTTGTGCTTGGCATTTCGAGTTAATAAAGTAATGCCCATGTATATCCTCTTCTGTGCATGAGATTTCACGGTTACATTGCTAAAGGCAAATACTATTTATATTTGAAATATATATGCCTATGTATAAACTATTTATATTTGTAGATTGACAAAAATAGATACTTCATTACAAATGTAGTATATATATTCATGTTTTAATTAAGTTGATTATATTAATTTACGTGTTAGAATTCTATTTAACAAGAACAAGAAGTGGTGGTGCTTCCAACCGAACCTGTTACATGCACACTTTTATTTGCATCCTCTAGATTAAGTAAAGCAAATATTGACCATATAAATTATTTAAGTATTTGGTTACATGATTTAGATTATTTGCATGTGTGGAAATTTAATGCTCTTGATTTTTATGCATGCCTATTTGAATATTTAATATGAGGTTTTAATCAGTTAAGGGTAGTTGTTGTTGCTGCTGTTGGCCAAATCTACATTGCAAAGAAAAATGGCTACTACACCCACCCTTCAAGAAAATGTTGAAACAATAGAAGGAGATCCTGAAAATGCTTCATCACCTAATACTGAAGAGGAAAATGAGTCAAAGAATGAAGGAGAAAGTGGAAGAAAGAGACGTAAATTAACTATCTGGGCGCATTTTGAAAGGTTACCATTGGATAAAACTAATGGAGAACCCCGTGCTAAGTGCAAGTATTGCCCAACAACAATTAGTTGTGACTCTACAAGACATGGGACAAATGGAATGAGAAAACATGTAAAAAGATGTCCCAGAAATCTGAACAAAGCAAACAAGTTGGCACAATCTTTGCTATCGAGCTCTCAATCAGGGTTATCTAAAACTTTGAGTCATCATCTATTTAATCAACTCGATTGCAGACAAGCCATTGCTATATTTGTGATATTGGATAAAATGCCTTTTAATGTTGTGGAAGGTGATGGTTTTAAAGAGATGATGAGAAGGTTAGAACCTCGCTTTCAAGTCCCTTCAAGAGCGACAGTTACTAGAGATTGCTACAAGTTATATCTTGAAGAAGCTAGAAAGTTAAAAAGGTATTTTAAAAAATCTTAAATCTGTGTTTCTCTCACTACTGATACTTGGACTTCCAATCAAAATACCAATTATATGTGCTTAACTGCCCACTGGATTGATGAGCATTGGACATATCAAAAGCGAATCTTGAATTTTTGTGTAGTTGAAAATCATAAGGGAGAAACAATTGCTCAAAAAATTAAGAAATGCTTGCTGTTTTGGAGCATTGATAAGGTGTTTACAATCACAGTTGATAATGCTTCTTCTAATAACACTGCTTTGGCATCTTTAAAGGGGGTCTTGAGGCATTGGAATGGTTTAGTTTGTGATGGGGAGTTCTTGCACTTGCGTTGTTGTGCGCATATCTTAAATTTGATTGTTTCTGATGGTGTGAAAGATATGCATAAGTGTATTGAAGGCATTAGGAATGCTATTAAATATGTGAGATCTTCTCCATCAAGGTTTCATAAATTCAAGGAGCTTGTGGAAAAAATGAAAATGGACTCAAAGAGGCTAATGAGCATGGATTGTCCAACTAGATGGAATTCAACTTACATCATGTGAGAGAGTGCAATTAAATTTTGCAGTCTTTTTGAAAGGATGGAGCAGCAAGATAATGATTATAGAAACTTCTTCTTGGATAAAAATTTGATTGGTCCCTCTAATGAAAATGATTGGAAGGATGCAAAAGATTTTGTGATCTTTTTGAAGGTGTTCTATGATATTACTTTGCAATTTTCAGGATCACTTTATGTGACCTCAAATGTGTGCTTTCAACAGATAGTTGATGTCTTTGCAATTTTATATAAAAGTGCAAACAATTATGATTCCTTGCTTTGTGATATGGCTAAGAGCATGTTGACCAAGTATAATAAGTATTGGGGAAACTTAGAGAAACTTAATCTTTTGTTTGTGGTAGCAATAGTACTTGACCCAAGGTATAAAATGAAATATTTATAGTTTGCTTTTGAGGATATGTTTCCTGAGGCTACACAACGTGAAACTATGACAAAAAAGGTCTCAGATGTCTTGTGGAGGGTAAGATCATTTTTTATAATTGATTATTTCTTTTAATATGATTTAACTTTTTGTTTATCTATATTTAATAATTTTTATTTATATTGTGTTTATTATTTTATTTTCAGAAGAATCATTGGCTTCAAATATCTCAGTTGAAAAGTAAGAGTAATGACTTGAAGTTGAAGTTATGCTTGGGCCTTAAATTGTTGATTCTTGACTTGTTGTTGCACTTATCACTTGGAAGTTACTTGTCTTTGTTGAGTTGTATTTGCTGAACTGTTGTTGATGTTTGTCTTTTGAATATTGCTGCTGAAATGTTCTTCTTAGACTTGATTTAATTTGATTTTCTGTTACTGTTTTTTTTCTTTTAATGGGAAATCTTGGTATTTTCAAAAGCATTCTTTTTCTTGAATTTTTTTTCTATATGACTAAGCATATTCTTGTGGGAAAGATGGCGGCATCACTAGTTGAGACTACATTATATGAAGAAGGTCAAGAAAAAGTTCTAGGTTTAGTACCTTGACACATTGTCCTCTAATTCATTTCATTCTTTCATTTCTTTGCCATAGCAATTTTTAAGTATCAGGGTTATGATTTGAAAGAGCTGCCTAAAGAGTACAGTGAACCACTTATAAATTATAGGGGCACGCTAAAAGTAGCTTTTTTCTCAAAACTTTAATGTATTTTTACAGTAATTTCAGTTCTGCAATTAATGATAAATTAATTATAGGAATACTTGAGTCAAACAGCAAGATTGAATTTTTTTTATTTCAATATGATTTTGCAAGGAAGGAATTTGAAGTGATCGAGAATATGGGAAGAATTCAAGTGCCGTTCAAATGGAAGTAGTATGAGGTAATTTTTCTCTCTCCAAATCTCCTATAAAAGTAGGACATTGTTAAGAAATATTTTCAAAGAAAAAGATCTAGGTGTTGAGTTGTGAACAAAATTTAATTTATATGGTTTAATTCTTTTAGTCTATCATTACTTCTATGATCAACCATATTCATAATGAAATTTGCATTAAACTTTTTTAGGGTTCTAATTAATGTAACATATGCTTTTTCTTGTTAAGTAATAAGTTGAAAGATTGTAACAATTTTGTTGATGTGCATTCAGGACGTCCCGGTCCCGTCCCGACTCCTTTCGGGACGGGACAACTTTCGGGACGGGACGGGACGGGACACGAGATAAATTTTGAGTCCCGATCATTTTTTGGGACAGGCCACGGGACGGGGGTGTCCCGATCTCGTCCCGTGAACACCCCTAGTTGTCTCCAAACATGGGCTTCCTAATTCTCATGCGCAACTTTTGAAAGCAAGAATCACGAGACATGATATGACATGACTATTAATAAAATAAAAGTACATAATCATGTTGAGATCATGTGAGCAGAGGGAACTTAGGAAGACCCATGATAATTGTCTAGTAGGGGGGAACAAGAGCTACATCCTGTTTGGATAGGTGGTTCATTGTACGCCAAATACGAATGTGTAGGATCAAAAATTCCCAGCATTCACCCAAAAAAGAATATGTCAAACACTCGGAGAAGTATCACACAAGTTTGGGATGTTTTCTTGAAAGGATTGGAAAATAAGTCAATAGTGAAAGAAATACTTTTTTTTTGTGGGATTTATGGTCAAGTCTGGATGAGCCTCTAATCCCATATGTTGGTAATAATATGGCTAGGTTAAATCCGTGAGCAAAAGTGAGGGATTTTATTAATGAGAACAATGAATGGAAGATCTTAGATTGGCAACCATTCCTTCCACCACAAATCATTGAGAAGCTTAAACAATTTAGACTACTATTGAGTGAGAATCTAGATCAGTTTTGCTAGAAAAATGGAAGCGAGGGCCTTCATAGTCAATGCAACTTATGAGTTTGTAACCAAAATGCAAGAACACCGACCAAACTTTATTTGGAATATAATTTGAAGGCTACTTGTTATAGAGAAAATCAAAAATTTCCTATGGCAAGCTAGCCATGGGAGGCTCCAAATGAACCACCTAAGAGCTACTGGGGGTTTGAGTGAGAGTAGTAATTTCTCTTTTGGGTGCTCTAGTAAGGAATCCATTATGCATATTTTGAGAGAATGTACTGTTTCTCAACATTTTTGGCTTCTCTTAATTAACGCATTATACTTGCGTAAATTTTTTTCTTTGTGTTTGCAAGATTGGGTTAGATGGAACCTTAAGAAGGATATTGGGTGTGGTGGAATTACAAATTGGCCTTAGAAGAGAGTTTTTAGCTTTGTATGCCAGATCCTCTGAAAGAACATATGCAAAGGAGTATTTGAGCAATGAAGACTCTCTGCTCAACAATTGCACCATTTGCAACTTCACCAACTAATGGAGAAGAGTGCTTTGAAGGCATCAAGGAGAATTTTATTAAACAAAAGATGCTATGAGGACACGCACTAGATACCACCACCAAAAGGCGAATTGTGGTTTGATGTTGATGGGTTTATAACTACAGAAAGACATGCAACTTATGAGGGAGTATTAAGGGACTAGCGAGGTAATTGGATATTGGGTTTTAAACAAAACTTGGGTATCCTAAATCCTTTAGCTACAGAGTTAATGGCAATTTATAATGCTTTTCTCATCATCAGAGAATGTAATATGCAAGATGTCACTGTGTTCACTGATTCTTTAAGTGTGATAAATTTGCTAATTAGAGATGATAGACTTCATCATCCACTTGATGACACTATGAGAGAACTCAAACAAATTTGGTTAGAGATGCCTCGTGTCATGATCACTCACATTTATTATGAATGAGTTAGATGTGCAAACCAACCTATAAAGAATGCTCATGAAGGAGGGTTTGAAGTGACTATTATTCCCTCAATGCCATTAGAATGTCTGAATCTTTTTATTTTTGAACAGAGTTTGTTTTGTCTTTTATTTTTTCAAGCTGTTAAGCTTGCCTTGTCTATTCCAAAAAAAAAAATTATGCAGTAAATATATTTACAAATAAATTTTATAAAATTTTAAAAACAATAATTAGATTTTTTTGTAAGATTTAAATATAATTTAAAATTATGATACAAAGACAGCAATGCCTCTATTAAAAATATATTATATCAATCAAATAATTTACAACTAATTCATTAATAATTCATTAATAATTTACAATTATAATTTTAACTTTTTACAACTGTAACTTTACATATTTAATAGTTAAACCAATCATACATTAAAGTTTATTATTAATTATATACAACTACCTCATCAATAATTTAAAACTATCACTTCAATATTTTACAAAGGTAACTTTGCTTCTAGTAGTTATATCAATTATGCGCTACTAATAAAGTTTAACAGTAATTATTTTCAATTACCTCATCAATAATTTACAAATATCATTTTAATATTTTACAACTATAACTTCAGTATTTTTAATAAGAGCAATATTGTTTTTGTAACACAATTTTAAATTATACTCAAGTTTTAAAAAACTTGGCTATGATTTTTAAATTTTGTGAGATTTATTTATTTTTAAATTTTGTGAGATTTATTTATAAATAAATTTGTCTTATAAGACCCATATGTAATTTTGTCATGATTTTAATTGTTTTCAAAATTTTTTATTTTTTAAAAAATAAAACATCTTACAATTGTTTTCATTTTATTTTTCTTGTGTACAAAATACATTGTATTTGGTAATTAAAACTTACAATCACCTTAACTAATGATCATCATAAACTATTACCATTAACCGCCAGTGACTATCATTATCAATCAATTTTTTAATTTTAAAATTATTTTTAAATTAACACAATCAAATATATTATTTTATCTTATTTTGAAAAATAATTTTAAAAACTGCACTGTAAAATAATTTTTTAAAAACAAAAAAAAAGATCACAAACAAACATACCCTTAGTTCGAGAAAATGAATTTAATTATATTACAATTAAGTACCAAAAATTCTGAGCTATCAAAAAAGTTTTGAAGGTTCTAATGTAAAAACATTAAATTGAAATGATAGAATTGCCAGATATTGTTCATCAAACTTCATTTGCAATTCGGCTTTCTTTTATTTTTTATTTTTTTTGCCAAAATTTACAATTCGGCTTTCTATTAATATATCTTTGAAAGAAATAATTTATTTTTTCAATTTTATATTTTAAAAAAAACTAGAAATACATCCGAGAGAAAGGTGTAATCATAATACTTTATTAACGTAAAGGGCATTTTTGGTTATCAAAATGCTTTATTCTCTTCTTTTGAAGCCAAATAATAGGAGCAAAGACTCTCCTCATCCTTTTTTTTTTATATATAAAATAATGCAAGGGGAAGAAAACAAATATACTCTTCCCGGGTCAAAAAGGAAAAAAAAAATTACACTCTCAAACCTCCCGACAACTAGGATGTACAATTATAAATGGATTTGACCTCACATCAAAAATACCATATTAAATATTTTTGAAATTGATAATTAATATAAAATAAATAAGAATGATCCATAACCTTAAAGCATGAGCTTGCTTCTGATGAAAGGGGCTTGTAGTTGAACTAAGATATTTTCTCTTCATCTTTTTTATTGAAAAAACTATCACTTTTAATTTATATTTTTTTATAAACAAAATCATTTATTTTAATAAATATTTATTATATATTTTTTAAATCACCCATCATAATTTACATTAACAAAAAATAATTAATGTACAGTAATGTTAATTAATATAAGGAATTTTAGTTTATTTTTTTATTTTCAGACATAATTATTGTAATTAATTGATTTTTTTATAGTGTATGATACAGTTTTTTTTCTCTTATACTCCTCTGATCTTATTTATAAGTCACTTCCAAACATATTTCACTAATAGTAAGAAAAATCTTAAAACTCATTAACTCTATCTTAAAATTTAATAAGTTTTCAACTTTGCCTCTATTAAATATACATACTTTAATAATATATTTTCTCTCTTTAATATTTAATTGAGAAAAAAATTATTATAAAAATTTAATAACATGACTCATAAATAAGATAGAAATTTTTTTTTTATTTTATAAATAAGATTGAAGAGAGTTTATAAAAACGGAGGAAGTAGTATTTTTCGTCATTCCTGTCCATATGTATTTTCCTCTCGTTTACAAGTCTCGTAACACCAAGCAATATTCAACATCACCTTTGATATCTTATGGGAATTTTTTTTTTTTTTGGTCGACCTTGATGGTATCAAATGATATAACAAGTAGAAGAGATTACATCGTGTTCCTTGCATACATTTTTCCTCTTCGTCATCCATGTCTTCCACAGAGAATGATTGAAGGTGCAACTCCGAACATTCATATGCATGTTTGGTTAGACTCAATTATAAGCAACTATGTTTTTTTTTTTTGGGGGGCGAATCAAATGTCATTGCCCTGCCGAGTATGGATTTGGAACAGATAAGATGAGACATTTGGAGATGTCGGAAAAAGGTGAGATGTCACGTAGAGATGAGAGGGATGGATGAGGCTGTCATGTCTCTCTCCAAAACTGACCATACCAAACCATACAAACATGGCTGCCTTCCTAAAAAGCACCATACCTACGCCTCACCCGATCAGGCCCCGAGACTCTTATCCACATTACTTTTTCTTGTCTTAAATTCATGGCAAATCATATTCACAAATTATAAGTAACACTGGCCATTTTTCATACGTGTTTAATGCAAATGCAAGAGATTACATGAAAGAGTCAAAATTCAGATATTGATTTGGACCTTCTGATTTGGACCTTTCTTACATTCCTCAGTTGCAGTCGCACAATATTTTGAGAAAATTATATTAAAATTTTATATAAAAAAAGTAATTACTATAAAATTTATTAATAAATAAAATAAGGTCATTAACAACTGATAACTCTCCCTAATATTTCCTCACTTTGCGCTGATGCATTCATTATGGCAGCAGAGTGTTTAGATGCTTATTATTTCTACCCAAGATTTTCTATTATCAAATTCTCGCACCATCTTTAAATTCCAGAGCTTTTTCTTCAATTTTGTTGGTTGTCCTACAATTTCTTATTATTAGTCGAATATAATTACCTTACCCCACCCATCAAAACAATATTAAAAAAAAAATTTACTCAAGTGTAAGAAATTTACGATTTTTCTACATTTACCATCATTACATGCACTGAACTCTCTCATCCCACCATAAATTATTATAATAATATGTAAGATACTTTAAAAATATTTGAACACTCCTTCTAAGAGCATGAGTTATAATAGGCAATGGAGCGAGTACACTTAAAAATTCCATCCTTTCGTTAACTCAAGTACACCCATCGTAAGAAAATTGATGGTTACGACTGCTAAGGTTCGAACCTTAAAAATCCTGCAGAAATAAATTATAATCAACCCTGCCGGACCAATATCAACATTTAACACTCGTCAGACGAGTGCCAAGGCAGAAGTTACATATTGATCAACATTCCCAGGGCTTGCGAAGGATGAAGGAAGAATTTATAGGCACAAATTTTAGATAGATAGAACATAACAGAAATTAAAGTTTCAACGGATTCCAGCCCTAGGCGTCAACAAGGAGTTATTAGTAATTGCACAAAAATCAATAACCTGATAGCCACCAACACAATAACCTGATAGCCACCAACACAATAACCATGTTTGTTGAGTGGGTGTGCCATTGAACATTACTACTCAAGTCAGATGCTCCCAACCCGCCAGACTCTAACCATCCGTCAAACTTCAAATGACACCAATAAATATCCAGCCGACCAGGTTAGATCTTCCCTATCGCAGATAGACCTTTGACCAACTAGGATTCACATTCTCCCACCCATCATTAAGAGTCTAACATGAACATTCACACTTCACAGACACTAAAGCCTACACATTTGCCTTCCCCCATAAACGCACTATATTATTCTATTCAGATCTTAAAAGCCCCATGATGCCTGGAGCTTCAAGTAGCACTAAAGCTTGAGCTTCGAGTAGCCAATGTCCTTCATGTCCTGATTACACAAACTTCCTATGCCTAAATAAACCAAATTCCTTCCCCCAAACAACTACTACTACAACAACAACAACAGAGACTAAACCAAAGATCAATATTAGCTTCAGGTTTCAGCTGTGTTCCCGCTTATTACAGTTCCATCACCTTCCATCGATGAAATAGGCAATTTGCTTCCTGTACTCATCTTCTTCACATCCTGGCTGGAACAAATGAAGATTCTCCTGACCATATTACAGAATTCACTGCAAGAAAACAACAGAATTAAAGAGGGAGATATTAATATTGTGAGAGGTTCGAGCTATTGAGTAAAATATGCTAAGCAGTACAACAATTCAAGATATGAACTTGAGACTTTATTCAAAGGAATACTCACGGCCACGGATCATCACCCACAAGCATCATATCCCCTTCATCATCAGTGAAGACAATTTCCCATTTCTTCCGGTCTTTAAGTTGTCCTTTTATGTCAAACAACTCCTCCAACTCATCTATGAGTTGATCATAACCATCCAACGTGGCCAAGTCCACAGCACGACCCACGGCAACCCCCTGCATTTGAACCTTTTGCAGGTTTTGAATGCCAGTGAAAAGCATCAGAATTTCTGATTAACCTACAAAATATTGAAATTATTATCGAAATAAGTAATCAACATTTGGAACCTTGGTGCGACTTCTGGAACATATTTGCTTGCTCTGAGTCTCCTTTCCTTGCAACTGTTCTTGTTTCCCCTCAAAGGAAGCCTTTGAGATGTTATGCTTACGGTCTGAATCAGTTCCAAAAAAGACATTGACATGACGTTCAGAAGGGCCATTAAGGATACCTGCTGCATGTGCAGGTGCCTTCTCCATGGCAGTTGAATTTTGGAAATGACCAATAAGCTCAATTCCAAATAATCGACAGCTTGTAGCAGTCT